CGGGAAGGCCTGGCGGGAGCAGACAGGCGTGGCGCGCTGGCGCACAGTAGGTGCTCAGCAAGCTTCAGCCGCAGGAGCACGGCAGGAGCCAGCACAGAGGAGGGCCAGTGCTCCTCAAGCCCGACAGGTGGAGACGGCTGGAGACTCCCTGCTTCTGCCCAGCGCGGCCCAGGCAGGCGGGGAGGGGCCGTGAACGAACGAACGAACGAACGAATGAATGCGTGGCTGGGTCACAGTCTACCCAGGGCAGAAGATCCCAGGATGTGGGGGGAGGGGGTCGAGGCCCACGCCTGTCTCGCCGTGTCCCTGTGTGGCCTGCGGCCCGCTGGGCCCAGCTCCCTGCCGTCCCCGGCCCTCCTCCCCTCCAGCGCTGGGAAGGGTGCTTGGGCTCCGTGCTGCCGGGGTGCGGGGCGTGCGGACCAGGTGCTGGCATGCCACAGCCGATCGCTGTGTCTACGCTGCGCCCTGACCCCATCCCCCCAGGACACCGGTGCTGGGGGACCTGGCCTCAGAGCAGCCCCCGAGCCCGCCCCCCGCCTCTCGACACCTCTGGCTGGGGAGTGGACCGGCAGGTCCTTGCAGGAAGCATGGGACTGGGTTATGGAAGGACTGTGCACAGCACTCTGGGTGGGCAACCTCCCCATTCCTTCCTTCCTTACCTGAATGTCTGCCAAAGCTGGGGGGGGGTCTGTTGGAGCTGGCCGGGAACTGCTCTCTGGTGGTTCCCCATTTTGTCTGGGGGGGCCTGGGAGGAGGGGCGCCCTCCGCAGGGGCGGGCGGCGGCCTGTCTGGCCTGTCACTGCACAGAGGGTGCTTGCTCACAGGCTCGAGGTCTCGGGGTGGACAGTCACCTGCTCAGTCCTTCCTGAGACTGATTCCTGCCCGCGGGAATGCGTGGGCGCTGGGGCACCTGGCCTCTGGGAGGCCTTCCTGGAGGAGGTGGCCCTGAGGAGACCAGCCTCCCGTCAAACACGTACTGTGGAGGAGGGCCCGGTGTCCCTCCCCAGGGCTCATGTGGTTGACTGCTCAGCCCCAGAGGAAGCTTCCGGGACTGGCAATGGGCAGACTCAGTCCTTCCTGGGAGAGCAGAGCCGGCCCCCACTGGGCAGGTGAACAGGGAGGCCCCTGGATTGCAGACCTCCCACGGGGGACGCACCCCGCACCTGTCACCCCGCAGGGCACACCCCACGGACGTGCCCAGGACTCGCGGTGAGCCTGGCCGATGCCAGGGCCGCGGGGCGGGGGAAACACGGGGAGACTTCTCGCCTGAATGCAAACAATTGGACAATCTGTTCTGGGTCGATTTAGAAGCAGTGGACTGAAAAAAAAAATCAGCAAATACAGTGTGAAAGCTATTTCCTCTCCCTCCCGGCTTGGTGGGGAGAGGGCTGAGCTACAGTTTATTTGTAGACTGTCCAAGGCCTCTCCCTCCCTCCCGAGCACCGGGGCCCCTCCACACCCACAGGCCGGACCCCGAGGGCGTCAGCCCCGAGCCCAACCTCAGAGGGACGCGCCACGCCAGGACATCTGTGTCCCGATACGCAGCCGAATTTCTTTCCTGAATGGAAGATGGGAGCTTGGAAACCAGCTTCAGCCCAGGGTGCAGCTCCTGGTCTCCCAGCCTGGCCGCTGGGCCTCCGGGCACCTGGCCCGTCTCCTTGAGACCGGCATTGTCCCCACAGCCTGGCCGCTGGGCCTCCGGGCACCTGGCCCGTCTCCTTGAGACCGGCATTGTCCCCACAGCCTGGCCGCTGGGCCTCCGGGCACCTGGCCCGTCTCCTTGAGACTGGCCTTGAACCCGGGGTCAGGAGACTCAGTCACGGGGTCTCGAGCCCCATGCTGGTGGTTTGAAGGGACGTGTGTCTCTGGGGGGGAGGGCCTCCCCTGAAGCCAGTGCATTCCTTGCGGCATCTTCCGGGGGCCAGGGAGCAGCACGCGGCGGGGGGGGCCGAGGACCGCAAAGGGGCTGCATCCCGGGAGCCTAGGGGGCCGACCGCAGGGAGATGGTTTGCTTCCAGAAGTGGCGGTGGCGGCCTCCTGCGTAGCTGCCTCCCCAAGGCCCAGGAGTGAGGCCAGGAAGGACCCCAACTGGGAAGATGGAGGCCGCCTCCGGGCTGCGGGCTGGCCTGCAGTGAGGGGGGGTTGAGGGGGCCGTGCGCAGCACCCCCAGCCCGTTGGGTGCACCCTAGCTGCTCTGCAAACTGTGTTCTCCAGTCTCGTGCTCTGCCTGGGCCTCCGGGGGTCGCCCAGTCCACAGCGGGGGGGTCAGTGCCCAGGGGTCCCCCAGCCGGGGCCAGGCCGCTGCCCCTGCAGACGTCCAGTCCCAGCCACAGAGCCAGGTGGGGGGCCGGCGGGGCCTTGAGGGAGCTGTGACCCCCGAGGGTTCCGCGTCCCCTTGAGCATCGTGGCTGCCGCCGCCCCCCAAAGCAGCTGGCAGAGGTCACGGGGTCCAGCAGGGGTGCCGAGGGTGGGGGGGGCCTCGCTGGCTTTCAGCCAACGGTGCTGCCCTCGGACTTCCAGGAATGAGGTCATGTGGGGGCTGGGACAGCACCGCTTTAGAGACGGGTCTTGAGGACTGAGGGGCCTGGACAGGCCGCCCTGTCTGTCCTGGGGGGGCTGTGGCTCGGGCCTCCTCTGGGAGCCCCCTCCTCCTCCCCCTCCCCCCTCCCCCCAGCAGCTCCGGCTCGCCTCGCCTCGGTGTCTGCCCACCAAGCTCTTTCCAAATTGCTTTTTGATGTTACCTCCCCAGTTCCCGGAAAGTTTGGAGGCTCCGCTCCCTGGAGCTGAGCGCTTGCTAATTAGACCTCCGGAATTCTGTTTACGCAGACGTCAACCCAGGCTGCGAGATCGAGCCGTTTTCTCCCCATTAAAAGGGACCTTCATGCTGTAGGGCGGCCTGCTAGGTGGAGGGGGGCGAGGCTCACGTGGGGCTTCTCCTGGGGACACGTGGCCGAGGTGGACTCCCCCCGCCGGGTGGGTGGTCTGCCGCGTGGAGGGGGCTGCCCTCCCCCTGCCCCCGCCCCCCTCTGCCCCAGCATCTCCGCGGGGTGGTTCTTTATTAGTGGTTCCTTTGTTCACGCTCACCTCAGGGGGAGGGGCAGGGGCAGGAAGAGCCCCCAGCGCCCCAGTCTTGCAGGGGGCTCAGGGCAGAGCCCCACGCCGCTCTGAGAGGGGCCCCTTTTCCCCAAGCTGGGAAAGACCGTCCCCTGGCCGTCACCTCTGACCAGACCCGGCCTCTGTCCCTGGGGTCCCCTCCGGCCCTTCTCCCTGGTTGCACCGGGCACGCCACCCCCAGACTTACAACCTGGGTGAGGGAGTGGAGCCAGGTGCGGCGTCCAGAGCTGGGGCCACCCAGGAGCCCTGTCTGGGGTCCATCATGGGGGTGGAAATAGGAGGGAGGGGGGGAGGGAGGGGCTGACTCTGCACCTGACTCCCCCACCCTCCCCCCAGGGCTGTCCCAGCCTGTGCAGCCTCTGGGTGGGAAGCCCGGAGCACAGCCCGCTGCCCTCTGCCCGGGGTGGACGCAGGGGCCTTGTGGGTGGAGGCGGGACTAGCTGGACCCCTCCTCTGGCCAGGCCAGGCACAGAGTGGGCAGGAGGCTCAGCAAGGGGGGCAGAGCAGGTGCCATGGGAGCCCCATGGAGGCAGGGAGGCAGGTTCCCTGCCCGGGGGGCCGGCGAG